CGACGGCTAATTCAAAGATTTTTCAGAGAGAAAACATTCCAATTTTTTAAAAAAGTAAATAGAAGCAATAAAATAATGACAAACCAGAGGAGACTCCCGCTAATCCCTCACGAGACTCGCCAGGATGGAAGCTGCTACGGCCGGTGAACAGAGAGCCCATCTTGCAGTGCAGCATCCCATTCCCTTCAGTTTCCACCTCACTGCCTGTGTCTCCATAGCAGACTCCTGGGACAAACATAATAATTAGTTACAGTTTCATTCTGAGGGGGATATGATCCAAAACACAACAACAGACACAAGTGCCTGATAGGCATGAGTGTATCTCAAATCACATTAAAAAGGCACATCTGAGAAGCTGTGTTCTTCTTAAAAAAGCCTCTAAAATTTTTGTTTTGTTTTGGTAGGAGAGTTTCTTTAGAAAACCTTTTTGTTTATTTATGTATTCTTTATTATGTCAACATGTTTTCTTGAGATGAAAATGTTCATTAAGCCCAAACAAAAACTAGACAAATCTATTATTTTTAATCTACTCTTGCAGTACTTTAGTCAGATCTTGGGAGATTTAGTCACAAGTTATGGCAAACAACTTGCAAAGGTATTAACACACCTTGAACTTTTTCAATTTATGTTGTGGGGGAAAAAAACCCAGAAAATCTAATGTGCTTGATTGGCATTTTTGTGATGGACAAACACTTTTGTACTTCCTTATTTATTACGTTGATAAGTCAAGAAGTAGTGCACAGTGTAAGGTGTGAAATTTATTTTTGCAGAATTTCTGAAATGTTTTCAGTGTATTGAGAATTTGCATTCAACCACTTTTACTCCTATACTCCTAAAACAATTTCAGTGGAACCAGCTGTTTTATGTCAACTAACAAATACATTAATTCCGTCTGAAATGTACTCCAAATTGTATCAATAAACGATAAAGCTCTTGAGAATTTCCAGGCAACTTACATTACAAAACATGTCTGAGGAACATCATAGCAGTTCAACTGCATCTACTGCAAGAATCATGCATACAAATACGACAACATGTTTGTAATGTCAACATCACAAACCTACAAGCAAAACATCAGCAATTGTACACAGTATTGAGAAAAAAGGTTTGACTGAATCCTGCTGCGATTTAAAACAGAGTACATACCATCAGTGCCCTTATGGATGTATCCATTGGAGAGGGGAGGCATGAGCTGCTGGTGGCTTCCTGCCTCAGAGTTACTGTAGCCTTCCTGTGGCTCTGACAAAGTACCCTGAGAGGACAGGTAGCTTGGGATATCTGCTGGCAAATTCATCTCATCTGTAACAAAGACATGTGTCCAACCAGGTAAATATTAGTTTCATGGCAGAACGTCTGATTTTCTGGCTGAGTAAAGATTTAAAGGTGACCTACTATGCCTCTGTTAACAGGTTAGGATGGGTCTATGGACTATACAAAACATGTTCATTAAATTTTTTCTGCACAAAGTCATTCTTAGATGAGATTTTAATCTGGTCAGTTCTGCATTTCAGACTGAGCTGCTTTAGGGCCTCTTGTCACTTTAAATTTAAATAAGCTTCTACTGACCACACCCCATCACTCAACGTTTACATTTCAGGTTAAAAAGGGTGCAAACAGACAGATAATTATACATCCCTATATCTTTGAAAAGCATTAGTGGACCCTCCTGCACAAACAACAAGAAGCAGCAAGTGGTTTCTGGATGGCAAGTCAGCAACATAACATACCCATTGCACAGCACATACAGTGGTAAAATCTGCTGGGCAAATGTCTGGGAGTTCAGTTTGGGTTGCTAGGTAACAGGCTGGACTTAGCTGGGGTTAGTAAGTCCAGCTTTCCCAGCTGATGCTAATGAGGGGCAAGGCCATCTGATTTCTGACGTTACATTCCCAAGGGTTTTTGAAACAGTTAACCTATTGCCAAAAAATGGCTGGGTGGTTTTTATTTTTTAAGTGCTTTGGCTGTTTTTAAAAGCAGTTGAAATCAAAACAGAAGTACAAAAATGTGCAAAATGTGGATTTTGCATAATAGGTCCCCTTTAATCTTGTATCTGCCTTCATTTAACAGCATTTCGAAAATGACTAACCGGTGTTGGTGATGCTGTAGTCCTCATTCTTCCTGCGCATGTGATAGATGACGATGACCCAGACGAGTGACGTCCCGACCACACAGCACACAACAACAATTACCACGATCCCCACAGTGGTCCAGCCGTCATAGTCGTACCCAGCTGCTGTGTCACAGCTGGGTAATGGTGAGACGCTGAGGTAGATGTGGCCGCGTTTGGTACCCACGGTGTTAGACATGATGCAGGTGTACTTCCCAGCATCAGCTGGACCAGCATCAACTATGATGAGGAGCTGATTGGCTGCAGCAAAAAAGTGACGCTCTGTGAGCATGAGAGGCCCGTCGTCTTTGGTCCAGTTGAGTCGGGGAGCGGGACTGCCTTCGGCTATGCACTGAAGCACTGCAGTTTCACCACGTGCCACTGTTCGGTCTTCCAAATCTCGCACGAAGGATGGGGTTTCTGGAAAAGGGGAGGACTGATTAAGTTTTGGAATTGGTTGGTATGAAAAGTGAAATTTGTAGTTGACAACTAGTTTGCATAAAAAAGTCTGACAAGTATAGTCATTAAAATAGTGATTAATAGAGATACACTAGCCAGGAAGATGTGAAAACAGGCCTCACACACTTTTCCCACAGTAAAATTCAAGAACTTTTCAAGCATTTCTAAGGAAAGTCTTCAAACTTTTCCACATGTTGGACATAAAATAAAAGCAACGCAAATGAACTAAAACAAAAACAGTTTCTATTCACTATGACATAATTTATGACTTGTTAATAATGTCTTGTGATGGTATTTTATGTTCTAGAGCATGGACAATGTGAACTAAAATAAAATGTTTTGAAATGTCTCTCTCGCTCTCTCACACACACACGCACACACACAGACAAACGCACACGCGCACACACACACTATAAACCTGACTGCTTAGGGAACAAAACACTAATTTAACAAGAAAAATTTGTGGTAGTGTTCACTTGCATAATGTATAAATTATAACCTAACCCTTATTTCAATAACTTAGATCAATAAGTCATTGAGTCATTGGGAATAATAAATATTCTTTACATTGAAACAACCCAAACTAATTATGTTTAGGAAAATGACCTTCCTGCTCAAATTAAATGCTAAATATATAAAGAAAGTTAAAAAAAAAGTGTAAAAAATGTTCTTGCTAAGTATTCTGGCATTTAGCAAATTGAAATAATTAAGGTGATTCTCTAAATTGCCTAAACTTAGATAATTTTGGTACATATTTGTACCTATACAAATTATAAAAGCTTATCTTGTTTAGATAGCTTATCTTATCTAAACAAGAGAAGTTTAGACTGATTTAACTTCAGATAGTGAGATGTGTCTCACTTTCTGAAGTTAAATCAGTTTAAACTTTAATTAAGGTTCAACTTTAATTAATGTTCTCTAAATTAAGGCTTTTAATCAAACGTTCGATTACACTTTGTTACAGAACTGTGCAATTCAATTATCCAGAACTTAAAAAGGACTTTATACAGAAATCAAGCACTTGAAAACATCGTATTGAAATTCAAGCATTTTCAAGAATTTGAACCACTCATAAGAACCCTGCGAATAATAAACATGTTAAGGTTTTCTTTTACAGCACCACTGATTCAATCTGGCAACGTGGTAACAAATAAAAGCTTCTAGTAAGTGACACTTATAGAAAAGCATCCAATTTGAGCGGAAATGACCGAGCAGAAAACAAAGGAACAGCTATACTCTCTGCTGATAAGGAGCGTGACTCACTCAGGACGGTCAAAGTGGCGTTTGCTGAGAGACTGCCAGCTGCATTTTGAGCCGTACAGCTGTACACTCCCATGTCTTCTGTCTTCACTTTAGCGATGAAGAAGATGTCGTCATCAGGCATCACGTGCATCCTGCGCTCTCTGGCAGCGGGGAAGTCAGTGCCTCCATCCTTCTGCCAAGCGATCTGGGGAGAAGGGTGACCTTCCGCTGCACACTCAAGCCGGGCCGTCATCCCAGTGCGGATTGTCAGGTCCATGGGAGTCTTAAGGAAGGAGGGCATCTCTGAAAAGCAGAGGGCAATCTGAGGTTAGGGTCTGTTATCAAGAAATCTTTTGGCAGATACTTTTCCTAAAATCTTTTAGGTAATAATTTTAATTGCAACTCAGTTAAATCACAATAGCACAATCCTTATTAAAGTACTGCATTGCAGACTAAGTTTCTAAGACCAACACTTTTTCTAGAAAACAAACAGGGATGCACTGATCCACTTTTTCCACTTCTGATACCAATACAGCTATCTGAATATTAGAATTGGCCTATACAATCCAATACATAAAACCAGTGCTCAATTGACTTAAAAAGTTCATTTTTTTTACAAACGGATGGAAATGTGCTGAATAACAAATTTATTTGATTACTCTGGACCAGTACAGTATCTTTAAAGACACCAAAAGCTTTACAAGCTTGGTCAAAAACAATTCAACTTTAATTTGTTCAGTCAGTGCAATAAGAAGCATAACATCAACAGCCAATGTACAATAAATAATAAAGCTCAGAGGATAAAGCATTGAATTACATTGAATAGTTCTGCCTTTATGGACCTGGCACACTGTCACCGATAATCTAGAATTTTTTTTTTTTTTCAATATCAAGACCAACACAGATATTAACATTTCTAATAGCAGATGTTAAAAGTATTCATGAAAAAGAGGACAAGGTCTCACCATTGATCGTCAGCATAGCCCTGTTTGAGTAGTTGGAGCCAAAGTGATTAGAGACAACACACTGGTAAAGCCCTTCATCAGTGAAGTTGACATTGAGGAGATGAAGCACGGTGGTGTAGATGAGCTGTCCGTCCTGATAACGGGCATAGTTTTCCACTTCTGCATCGTAGAGAACCTCCCCGTCCTTCCGCCACGCCGTGGTCATAGGCGAGTCACTGCTGCTGGATGCAACGCAGCTCAGAGTCATGTTGTTGCCCCTCAAAGCCACAGAGGTCTCCGGGTGGGTTGTGATCCGAGGCTTGGGGAAATCATCTATAGTGGAGAAAGAGGAAAATTGGGAGAATTGTTCTATATTAACTATATTCCAATAGAACTCTTGAATAAAATGTCTCTCAGAATGAAATATTTACCACACTGTATTAGAATTGCAACTATTCCAAATACCTCAACAAAAACACCAAACATAGACAAGGACCTTTTTGTAACATCTTTTATAATTCATGGTATATTTCTGAGAATTTAAATATTCAAACTGACCACAAACAAACTCATCTGGGCTGATTGAAAGGATGCTGCGACCAAGTAGACCAGCAGGGTGGGCGCAGACAGCAGAGACAGACTGAAGGAACTGGCTTTCCTTCAGCCAGGGACCCAGCCACTGCATATGACAGTCACACAGCAGGCTGCTGGAGTTCAGGACACTGAGAAAGCAGAAAAATGGACAAATTCTCATAAATTTTAAAAACTTTTTGTTTTTTATAATTAAATCCCTTATCTAGGTTAAAGTCTCAACTTAAATTAACCTTCCAGAAAGGTCATGTCATCATAGTAGTGAAAGCAAACATAAAGTAAAAATATCTAAAGAAAGACAAAGTAACTCCACTAATTCACCAATGGAAAGTTTAAAACCAGAGGAGCAGAGTCAACATCTAAATATTCACAATCACCAAATGAACTCTTTTCTTGTTCCTCTAACATAAACTGGAATTCCCCAACAAAACTCCTGGCACTTCTAGGTGTTTTGGTGCATTATCCTAGAAGTCACAGGGTACATATCAAATTTAATTTTAGTGAACACATCTTGGATGTGTATGTTCATATGAAGTGACGTGCAATATCTTTAGGTCATCGGTGTCAAGTTTGAAAGAAGTTAGTGTTTCCAGCTATAGTAAGCTGGCACTTAACCATTTCACTGTGTTTAGTCAAATCGGTTTAAATTAGATGTGCAATTGTGTTCTCACTTTAAAGTTCCATGTTTCAAACATTTCAAAAAACAAAATCCATGGCTTTAGAAGTTCTGCAAAAATAATATAGAATTGATGTCTTTTTACAGAGAGCATACACTGAGATGTGTGTAGGTCTCCAGTATTGTTACAGAGGATAGGATTATCATTTTTGACTCCTCTGTAGTCTATATAGTTTCCCATCAAGTGAAGTGCATTTTCACCCGACTGCAACATTAACACATCGGTAGGAGTTTAACACAGTGCTAATCTTTACTTCCAGTAATGCAGTTTCTCTTTTCAGTTTTCCCAGATTACTAGCAAAATATCCTTTATCCACTTGCAAATAAAGTGTGCTGAAGTGAAGGTTGACTTATAAACAAAATAATGTGATTATAAGTCAAATTCAAATGAAAATAAGAAATTGTCTAACTTTCATTACAGCATCAAGGGTACTTTATGCAAAGTCTTAAAGACTCCAAACAAGTGCTGATCAAAACCTCGAAAAAGGAAAAAATATTTCTGCAGTATTTTCTAACAGAGGACGTGGCTGTTTTTGCTAACAGGGGGTCAGCTCAAGATGTACCTGAAAATAAACACATCTCTAACATCAAAACAAAAAGTAAATTTGTGTTTTATAAGTAATCTAATTCCATTTTTTAAAAATCAGTTTAAGAAACAACATAAAAAAACGTTGTTGTATGTAAGGTTAACAAAAACTAAGACTTAAGCTTTCAGCGTACTTACAATACTTCGAGTTTTAAATGGGAAAGCGCCTCAGGATGTATGGACATGATACCGTTTTTGCCAAGGTCCCTGCAGACAAGACAGAAATATGGATTAGAGCTTTTAACTAGATCTGATCTCAGTTATATCTGCATTTACTAAAATTACATAATACTAAGACAGCCTTACTGATACGTATAATCTGTCATCAATAAAATATTTGTACAGTTATCAGAACTGTCAGGACTCAAAGACAAAGTTTAATGATTTAACTCACAGCTCCTTCAGCTCATCCAGCCCCTCAAACGCCTTCTGAGTGATTGATTTGATTTTGTTCCGCTGCAAATTTCTGCAAAATAAAGTAATTTGATGTAATATTTTTTCAACAGTTTCTTAAGTTGTTTTCCACATTGGTAAACCGAGACCATAACTTTCGTGAAGGTTCGTTTAAAACAACTGAACAGCATTTCATGGTCAGTCAGCTTGTTCAGGCTATAAAATGGCTATAAATTAAAAATTCACTATAGACATATAGTGAATTGTGCTGTTAAAAGTGTTGGTACCTGACAGAGATTTATTTTTTATTTTTGCCACATTTAAGTCAAACAAATTGTAATATCAAACAGAATTAATTCAAAGAAACAGTTTGCCAAACCAACCAGCCCTGTGTACAAAAAAAAAGGTGTGGTTATTGCCTGACCTGCATAATTATGGTATTACTAAAATAGAACGTAGCTCACAACAAGACGTAGGTTCAAAGATCTCAAATAGCAATACATCCAGTTCAATTAAAAGAACAGACATGAAAAGTGGAACTCATCAACATGTGTGTGTCTAGACAGGATTACAAAACCATTTCTAAGGCTGTGAGGCTTCAATAAACCACAGTGAACATCATTAACCACAAATGGAGAAAAAATGAAACAGGAATGAATCTTCCAAGAAGTGGCTGACCTGCCAAAATTACTCCAAGAGTACGTCAACACCACATCCACAAGATTAAAACACAACCCAAAATACCAATAAGCGTGGGTAGCCTCACTTAGCTCAGATGATGCTTATAATTCAACAACAACAACAAAAAAGACTGGAAGATCAAAACTGCTCCTGAACAAATAAAACCCAAAGCTCCACCAAATATTTAGTAAAAAAAAAAAAAAAAAAATTCCACCTGAAAATCCTAAAGATTATCCAGCCAGCATCAGTTTGGGGCATTAGTCTAAACACTTGGGATAAACACCAGAACAATATTTCAAAACACACAAACTACTTTTTCACATAGTATCAGATTGGTCTGAATGGTCTTATCCTATAATAAATAAAATAAGGAAAACAATCCATTTCCATTTACTCTGCCTGTCTTTTTCTTATAATTAGTTTTCATGATCAGAATCCTTTCACTAGCACAAAATCATCTATAACAGAACAAATGTGTGAAGGGCAAACACTTTTTACAGCACTGTAAATAAACAGCTATATGTTAGACTTATAACATTCATCACTAAAATGCTAATGGTATGTCTGAAGCACTAAGAAATAACATGTAAGAAGGGTATTTGTCTAAATAAAAGACATTCCAACAATATGCATGCATGCAAGCAGTACATAATTTCACACAGCCATATTTATATCCATTCTTACAGTGTGTTCAGCTTCTTCATTCCATCAAATACAGCAATGGAGTCTTCAATGGCCCATGAGATTTCATTGTTGTGAATATCTCTGAAAAACAAAGTCATATCACACATTATATGTTAAATGTGCTAAACAGCTAAAAACATCTTCAGTAAATACATTATAGTCTTTCCAACCCAAGAACTGTGGTTGCCAGTAATAGCAGGCAACCATCACACAGCAGTTTTAACGACCCCATTCCAATCTTTTCAACCTTGAACTGCTGCAAAAAAATAAACAAATATGTAAATCAAATATGTGTCACTAATATAATACATCTCCAGTAGTTTGGAAAGCGTCTGCAGTCCAAATGGTCAAGTGACATCTTATCCAACTTTTACGTCATTGACGTGAGACATGTGTCACCGCCAGACAGACTAAAACTGGACATAAACAACAATTAAATCTATGACAAATCTGGACTTATGAAATATCATAATCACAATTCTACCACTCCTGGTGCCGGCAACATGTACAAAAATACTTCTTTACACAGATTCCAGTCAATGCTCTACAAAATACCATTGGTGTTAGTTGTGCTTTCTTGTGACAGTACTGCCGACTCCCATTGGTGAATAACTTTAAAATAAATCCATAGATAGTGGTATCCATTATTGCTCCCGTAATCAGCGTGACATTCTTCTTCTGTGCATGCGGGTCACTTTGGGATTGTAAACCGTTCACACAGAAGTCTGATTATACTTGCTTTAAATGAGGAGTATGTATGACCACACACATACACACGCATGCACACAAACAATCAGATTCCAGCAAAAAAATCTATCAAAATTGAGCATTAAGGCCTGCTGTGTGAATGTAGCCAAAGTTCCGGACCTAACAATTTGAGACACCGAGGTTCTAAGCTGTGTCAAAGTTTGGTGGCCCTGCTTCTGATGAGAGGAAATAATTGGCTCTGTTTATCACAGTTCATGGGTCTCCTGGAAAACCAGAGAGGCTTTGTGTTTGCAGGATGGGTCACAGGCTCTTTTGTTTTACTTCCCTCATGCATGGCCACCTTTGAAAGAAGCTTGGCTCTGTAAAATACCCCTCTTCAATGAAAGCTTTCTGGATAATAAACATACCAAAACATAAACTCTCCATATTTAATTTCAGCACCTTATACTTGCATCAAATAAGGAGTTTCTCTACACTTCCTAAGTTACAGAATAATACTTATATGAAAACTGCATACTTGCTTAATTAGGTTAGCATATTATTGTCTTGGATTTCCAAAGCCTTTGTTGTAATGCTAATGTTGTTGATAGTGTAATCGTCCCATTAAATCTGCCACTCGTACAGCTAAAGTGCAGAACCCTCTCACATCCCACATGTATGACACGTACAGGGCCCTTACAAGGCAATGCAAATATTCCATTAGAAAGACTGATTATGATTGCATTTGCAGTTTTAATCCATCAGAGTCTACTTAGGAGAAACCCACATTCATTAAATGTTAATACATGCTAATCATTAAAGCACCTCTTCAGGCTGTCAAAAACACTTTCTTCTCCACTTGGAGAACAGATAATACAGAAATAAAGTGGAATTCTGGGAAAAATTACACACTGAGTCATTTGATTTACAATACAAATGAAATGACTAAAGCAGGATTACCACATAACGGAAACTAAAGCAGCGTGTAAAGAGGAAACAGCTCCTATGGTTTTTCTAATTTGTACGGAAAAACTGTATTCATGTCAGACTAGAAGTAAGATAAGGAACGAAAACAAGCACACTGACCTACTGTAGTCAGCAATCTGTCGGAATGCAAGTCAAGAACAAGTCAAGACTTGATTTTAAAAAGTAATCTTGGCTCCATTTAATTTCTTAGAACACATAAGCGTTACTGCTACAGGGCATTGTACTTACAAGGTGCGCAGATGTGCCAAGCCGCTAAAAACGCCTTCTCCCAAATGGCTGATGGAGTTTTCTCCCAGGTTCAGAGTCTCCAGAAATCCTAATCCAACAAAAGCAGACTCCTCAAGTCTCGTCAGGTGGTTGTGGGACAAGTCTCTGCAAAGATAAACACCAATTTCATAAAGTACAATTCCCATCCATTTAAATTTGACCTTGTTTGCTTGTGTAACAAATATGTTCAGAAATTAGACAATTTCACAACCTAACCTTTGCTAAATGAGCTGTGGAAAGCTATAATCAGGTTCAGATTAAAAGGCAGTAAACATTAAATCAATCATACAACAGTGGCTGATGAAACCATGTGGGACTGCTCATCTGCGTAGGGGTTTCAGTTTTTAATAGCAACACACTCACAGTTCCTCCAGTTTTTGGCAAAACTCCCAGGCGTCAGGACGAATAACACCTATAGCGTTGTGGCTGATCTGCAGGATGCGCAACATCCGGAGGCCATACAGCCAAACTTTATTAACCTCCGTTAGGTTGTTGTGTTCCAGCTCTCTGAAAGATGGGAAAACAACAAAAGACCAAAGAAATAATATGTATTTTTATGTGAGAAACTCCTGGCTGATAATTCACAAACCATGAGAAAAGTATTTCACATCAAAACCAATCAGCTACTTCTAAAATAAGTAGTAACTAAACTGTTTTGAAATTGAAATGAACAGCATTATACTCACAGCTCTTCAATGTTGTTTAGCCCAAAAAATGCTCCATCCATGAGCTTTGTGATGCCATTTCTTTGCATCTTCAGTGACTTTAGCGAGTCCAGCCCCTTGAACGTCAGACTGTCCACTATCTTGATCTTATTACGCTTCATTTCCCTGTTGGGAAAGTAAATCAAAGCTTTATTTAGCCAAGCAGAAATAAAACAACGAAGTAAACTCATAAGATGGCTGGAATACTTAAAGAAGCATTATCAGCTTGATTCATTGGCCTAAATAAAAGTTGATCAAACCAAAACATAAATAAAAATCACTTTGAGGGTGCCGATTTCAGGTTTGAACTAAAATGTGTTTAATACTTACAGTAGCTGAAGCTGAGGAAGTTTGAAGACTTTTGACGGCAGCGTAACTAATCTGTTCCTGTTCAGCCGAAGCACCAGCAGTGAGCTGGAGATGTTCTCAAAGCAGCCAGGCTCCAGGAGGCTGATCTTATTGTTACTCAAATTCCTAAAAGATGAAACAAAAGCAGAAACACTGAAGCAAAAAATTAAAAAGGGATAAATATGCCTCACCTACTTTAGGTCTGCTCAGGAGTAAAAGAAGCTTCGTGCATTGATGATTTCTTTAATAACAAAAGCATCAATGCATGCAGTTTTTTCATTAAGATATTTAAAATGCTTTACATCCCCAAAAGAAGTGTTACTATTCAGCCTAAACTCATCCGCAGAAGTGTTTTCTTATTTCTTATACTACTGATTACACAACTATTGTTAACCACTGAAACTGAGGAGGAAGTAAAAGTTGTTGTTAATGTTTAATGATGACTCCATGTCTTGAGGGGAAAAGTATGTAATGTTAATTTCAATGATGTACTATCACTTACAGATATTTGAGCTGGATGGACGGAAAGGCTCCCACTTTGAGCACAGAGATAGAGTTAGACGTTAGGTCCAGTGTTTCCAGGGAAATGTAGGGTTGTAGCTCATGCATCAACAGTTCTGAGATCCGATTGTGGACTCTGAATTATATTAGAAACAAAAACATTTCAGTTTTCTGCAATAACATTGACAATTATAAGTTACAATCAATTCGAAGCTTGACTATACTGCAATACTAAATCCAATGAGTAATGATGACTAATGATGCCTAAAAAGGATCTGTATTTTTCAGATGTTTGGAGTGACGGCTCATCTTTTCTAACTTCTGAGGAGACAGGTTCCATGAATTAGAAAGAAAAATCTTTAATATTTATTAAACTCTTCAAGTTGTTTTATGTGAACTTCCACAGAACAATTCTTTGACGGTTTTTTTAAAAGATATTTTATTGCCCAGCCACTTAAAAGTTATATAAAAATCATTCAAACATTAAAGGCAGCTAAATTTAAGCGTAACCTCATACTGACAGATAAGAACCATATAACAAACAGTCAGTTTCGTACTTTGTCCTTTCTGTCACAGAGGAAGTTTGTTCCCATTTCTTTTCTAAATCAGTAGAAGATTTTTGTGACCATAATTCTTTGATAGCTGGACAAGTAGAATGGTACAAAGGTAAGGGGAAGATATGCAGCAAATTGCCCAGGGCTGGGAATCAAACTAGGGCCAACAATTTGTATATGGTGAGCCTACTCTATAGTGAGCGATGTGGTGGCCCTATTAACTGACATTAAGTCAGTTATTTGGCTCAAATATTCTTGAACAAGTCTTCCATACAGTGAGCAAATGGGTCAACTATAACAGTACAAATCAAACTTTTGAGACCATATCCAGGCTATATCATTTTTACTCAATTAAACTAAATAAATTATAGCATGTTAGGATTGCAGGATTTAATGCATTAGTGGCAAACAAGCGCCTGAAATGTTATTACCTGCCAGATACTGCATTCCAGCAGACTTTTGTTATGTCGAAACTTTGTTTTATTTCAACCAATTTTATCTATAAAGCTCCCTTCATGTTGGAGGCAGCTCACTGGAAACACATAATAAAAAGTATTTCTGACCAGGGTTGGAACTATCCAGGGTCATTGTCTGCAGGTGAAAATTCCAGAGATGTGAAGTAAACTGAAACTGGTGGGATATTCCCTTTTGCTCCAATTTCTGTAAGACGGCTGGTGGATATTAAAAGCGATTAATCTTTTCTTCACTTCCCTGGACTACCCAGGGGAGTCGTTGCTCATATTCTTTGCTTAATTTCTTAATAAAATAATAATCAAAATGCATCTTGATTCGTTCTTGATTGACTTAGTGTTTCACCTTAGGTAAGACTTATTTCCTTAGCACTTTCTAATTGCAATACTGCATACGTTGAACTTGAAATAAAATTTAAGATTTTATATTATATTATGTCCAGCTCCAGAACAAACGCTGCCTTTGCATGTCAAAAAGCAAGATTAGAAGTTTTCCTGTTTACATTTATTCATGGGTAAGACAACTTTTTAAGACAAAATGACTTAGAAGTGTCATTGGACTTGTTAGATCCAAACAAAACAAGAAAATGGGAGGGCAATAAAAGTTATTCCACTATTCTCTCAGGGATTAATAAAAACACAATTGATTAGCAATTGCTCATTCTGATTAAGAATGTATTACAGATCATTTATTTTTCTCAGGAACAAAATATAGTAGGTTTTTTGCAGTGGCAAAGCATGTGATAGCACTCTATGGCACATTACATCAAATGTTGTGTACTTAAATAGGTCTTAGATGGAGAATGGTAATGCTACACATTCATGGCAGAAAATGATTTAAAATCTTTATATCAAGGAAGGGGGAAGAACACATAATGGGAGTTCTGTACTCACAATGAAAGTGAGGTAATGTTTGATGAAACGTTTCCAAGAAAAGGAAAAACAGCCAGGTCGTTGTGGTTCATGGTGCTGAAATTAAATTACACACAATATTAGAATCATAATGGTCAAAGTGAACTGACCTCTCTGATAGGAATAAAAAAAAAAAAACAACCCGGGAAACAACAAAGTTAACATAATTTAAATTCAGTTGGAAACCTAAAACGTTTTTTAAATAACATTAATTATCAATTCGTTTACAGGGAATTTAATTCACACAGAAAAAACTAACAAAATATCTGTATACAACAGCCCTTCATAGGGGATTCTATCAATTAAAATGCATTAACATCTTCATGATCAATGTTGCAGGATTTTGTATCAAAACAGAGCAGAGGATTTAGTTGAAACACGCTTCTGACAAAATCCGCTTGTGTACTTACACTTGAGTTATCCCATCTGGGACGTCCAACGGGGCAGCGGACAGTCTTTTCCTGTTGCACTCCAAAATATGGACCTCATCTTGTCCTTTTGAGCAGGAGCAGGGAGCAGGACAAGAGACTGTGACCCAGGCACTGAAACTCAGCAGCAGGACAACAAGAGCTGGAAGAGTGGGCCAACCTTCCGCCATTTTAAATGTCCTCCTACTGAGAGGTAGCTACGTGGCTAACAGACCCTTTCAAATGGCACTTTTAAGAGCTACAAAAGTAACAAACTATCCGAGGTGTTTGATTTCAGTGTAATGAACACATAATTCAGCTTTACAGCTTCATAAACCCAACATAAATCGTGTAATCCAATGTTGTCCAACTTGCGCGAAACATACTAGCTGAGATTTGTTCCCTTCTTCGAACAGCCTGGAATTCGTCCTGCTCCAATCAGGGTAGCCTCACCGTCAAGCTAACCAGCTAACTGCTAAGCTGGTTTGACCCCAAAAATACAACACTTCCCGATAAACGAAATAGCCTAAAATAAATGCTCCGACGGCTTCTGGCTGCAAAACAACAACAGAAACGTTAAAAGCATATTTTTCTACAAATTATAATCACGTTTTTGGAGCCCTGTCCCAAAAGAAAAACAATGCGCCGTAAACTGATGACAAAGGATAGCAAAGATCCCGCCCCATTCCAGCATGTTGACAAACACGCTATTGGTCAATGGTCAAGTTCGTCAAAGAATTTCAACGATTTGATTGGATGTAGTTTAACTGAGTTAAAGTGGCGACCTTCCCACTTCTTTGGGAAAAAAGTTTGGCAGAGGAGCGTTAGCAAAAACAATCATATTTCTTGACAGTAGCTATTGTATGTAGCATCTCTAACCTGCAAGTTTTAATATTTATATTTTCAGAAACAGATCTTTGTAATTATAACATAGTTTCATCGCCATTATAACACAATAATAATAATAATAATAATAATAATAATAATAATAATCTTCATCATCATCATCATCATCATCATCATCATCATCATCGTAACGTAATGTTTAAAAAGGTTGTACTTACATATGTTTAGTTTTCTTTATACGTTTATAGGATAAAGAGACAAGGTTCTACACACCACATCAAAATAAGTACAGTGAAATAAGGATGCAAAAATTAATTTAAAAAACCCAAGGTCAGTAATTACTTGAAGAAATAAAAACATGACATTTTTATGCACTATTTGTAAAGCACATATTTAACCCTATTGTTGCATGTTTCATTGCTGGTTCTAAAATAAAAGATTAGGATGGGTTTTCAAGCTATTATGACTTTTCCTGGTATTAAAATATCAGTGCTCACTTTTAAACAGCTATTGGTCTGGCAGCATTTTTCCATCGTACATCATTGTGTATGTAAGTTTTAATACAAAAGAGACAAAAAGCCAAACCTTAATTTTCAAAAGGAGAGAAGCTATTATTATTATTGTTATTTTGTTCTCCAACCCTTTAATGCAAGCACATTTTCTTTATCTCACAAATGACATTTATCATTTGTGAGACAACTTTTATCCAAGTCTATTATTGTCTGTTTGCTCAAAACAAGTTGGATGTAGATCATTTTTATGCATCAGTGACTTGTGATCAGAATCATTGTGTTAGAACGGGAGCTGGGTGTGATTATTTAAACCTGACTGCTCCTCTTCAGCGTAGCTTGGTGTTTGTGAGCCCAGCCGCACTGATGAAGCTTGGTAAAGCCCTGCTGTCTACTTTCATCATGTTTTGTCAATTCTGCTTCATTGAAAGGGGCCCCATACCTGCCCTTCTTTACAGAGAAAGGGTGGGGACAATCTATGAACTAAATGAAACCCAAACAGGGGCAAATATATTTTTAAGTCTGATTTTTAAACACATTCTGTCTATAAAGATTTATGCTGTGTCCGCATGTGTTGCTTAGGGTGTGCTTTGAACTATTGTTCGTAGAGAATACAGGAGGGATTTTTAAACTCATTCTGTCTAAAAAGATTTATGCTGTGTCCGCATGTGTTGCTTAGGGTGTGCTTTGAACTATTATTCGTAGAGAATACAGGAGGATACGCCTTAAAAATAAGGTGTAGGCGAATAGCAACACAAACCAATCAGCAGTCGCACCTTACTTGTACCTTGACTTTGTAGAGTATTCTCAGAATATAGTCCGAGCAAGCTGCCAATTACAATAAAGGTACAATAGGCTTCAGAAACAGTTTGGTACCTCCTCTTTCTTATATATCCACCTCCCATGAGCAGAGAAGCCACTTCTTTGATCATTGCATTTCTTTGAGCCAGAGAACTTGGTAGCCAAATATGTTTCAGGACATTTCCAAAACTGATTCAGCGTCCAATTTCCCTGCTTTTGTCCACAAAAGAAAAGGGGGAGCGGAATATCACCGAACATGCCGTCTGGACCCAAACAATCCACAGAGCGTCCTGCACGTCGTTGGCACGTCTTTGAAGGCGAATTTGAACAGGTAAACTGACTTGATATTTATTAGCGAAACAGATGAATTAACGGTGGAAATAAGAAGTATGTGCTTCACATTTAGGTGCCTGTGTTAATTTGCATATTGTTTCCGCGAATTTGCTTCAAAGTGCGACACTTAATTGTTGGCGCATGTATTAACCGACGGACAACAGAGCCTGAACTGAAAGGTGAGACAACAGAGCTCACTCCGGTTACTGAAGGAAATGTGTTAATATTATGTTTTTGTAGCTGGATTAACTTCATTGCAACTCATGCAGCGACATTCAAAGGTTTTTTTTTTTTTTATCAGCACAAACAGACTGGTAAGAGATAAAGAGTTTGGACATCGAGAAGGGCAAGGAAGGGGGGGGCGAGGAGGGGTGACTATATTCTGACCAATCACCGCCCAGTGGCTCCAGTTGTAACTGCGGACTTAGTCGAGCTATCCTCTCCGAGACCTGCTGACCCGTTTACGTCTTCTTGTACCGGAGCTGTATCAGAGCCTTTGAGAGCCGAGAGGGCTGCAGCCATGGCTCACCGGCGGACTCTCCGAGTAGATTATGATAGATCGACCAACGTAGTGTGCGTGGTCGGCTCGGAACTCAACGTAAACTTAGACAGGTAGGCTTCTCTCTGCAGCCCACCCTTCAACTACAAGGTGCACACCGTTTGTTAAAGATCCAGCATTTGATACAGGCTCACACTTTCCTTCTCTCTTTTTTTTTTTTTTTTTTGACTCATTATTGCAGCTGCTACACGGAAATAATGTTAGGCAATAAAACGACGTTCTTTTAAGTCGTTTTAAAAGAACGACCCACCAAAAGCAAATACCCATCAGCTGTTCTGATGGGTATTTAGGCGTCAGATTTAAGCGTCAGATGAAACCCTTTCTCTGAAGCAAAAATATGAGCAGGGGATTTAGATGGAAATAGCTCTGATAATTCTCACATTTAGGGTTGTGATACGTTTTAACAAAAGCTTCTTAAAACATATTTTTTGGTACTACTGATTGAAGTATTGTCATCTTAGTCACACAATGACTACGCCGTTTTGGTACAGTTACAGCAAAACAAGGAAGTCATTGTTAGTTCACAGAAAAACATTTGTATTTGTACAGAAATTGTGGGGTTGTCCTTTATTATGGACAATACATAGACACAACAGTCCTCTTTTGTTGCTTTGTACAGAAAACACTTTGTCTTTCTCCATAGAAAAGGGCCTACGCTCTGACAAATGTCAGCCTGTTGTGCATAACCGAACCAGGCTCGATTACAAAAAAGACTAACATGTGGCGTAGTCTATCCAGGGCTTTTAGGGGGTTTCAAATTCCACTCAACACAATCTTTTGCATCTCCTGTGACAGGATACCTGTTGATGTGATTACTGGATACTGATTCATCATGACATTTGCATGTAATTATATTCATAGCTGGGATAATTTTCATTTTTCCAAGGCATATTTTATTTGTATCTGTTGATAAAAAATATTACTGTAATTTGGATGACTGATGTGTTGAATGTATACACACATGCGTCTTTGTGGTTGTTGTTTTTAGAACCTACTACGCCCATTTTGCTGACTTAACTGCACACACCTACTCGTGAGGTGTAAATAGCACAAGTTATTCAAAATTACAATTCAAGAAAGATTTTACTGGCTGACATTTAAGCTGTTGCAACATTCTAAACTGTAAAAGAAGAAAAGGAGGGCTAAGTTCATAGCTTCAGTTTAAGAGCACAGATGAGTATAGGTGCAGTGTGAGTGGCTTTGACGTTGGCTCACAAAAATCTGTTGTGATCTTAAACTGAAGCTCACATGAAAAGTCTATAAAACAACAACATTGAGTCTTTTATTGTTAAAATTAATTCAGGTTGACACATGTCAACATTTTTAAAACCTCAGCTGAGGTAAGTGAAACAGTAAATGCTAATATAAAGTCATATGTAAAAATATTCAGTAGTTCAGAAGTTCAGTCGCTTCTTGTTATTTTACTTTTTACACAAAGACTGGTTTACTTTTTAGACTAGTGAAAGTTCAAAATAAGCATTATGACCTATGCTGTCAGTTTGGTTTGTCATCTGTTGAAACATGAGCAGGCGAAACATACATCAGTGTTCGTCCTAAGTTATGTTTACTCTGACTTAAGTGGCGCTGGAAGAACTTTATTGTGCACACTCTACATAACCTTGTAATAGTACCCTTACCACTGAAGCTTTGCACATGTTGTCAAGTTACAGCCCCACAGAAAGCCATAAGGACGTCCTGTGTACAATTTGAAACAAACCATGTGCGGATCATCAAATTTGTCATTTTCTACTTAAAGCTAAAGAAAACATGACATTTGAAATTAAAATATTATATCAGATCAAAAAAAAAAAACTTTTTTAAAAACAGAAGTATGGGTTTAATAAAAAAGTTGATGATACTTTCAATTTAACAAACAAGACTCATCAGGACTTATATTCTAATTTATTGAATGTGACAGTAAATGCATTTCAAGTTCCCTGTGCACAGTATTGCACAACATTGTAAAATGTACCACATAAGGTACATTAGAGGTTGTGATTGTAACTTGACAAAATGGCTGAAAACTCAAGGAGTATGATTACTTTTGAGAAACGTTGAATTAGGCGAAACACCTAATGTCAAAATATGTCATTCTGCTTTTCAGGAGCGCCCCTCCTGGCTCCAAATTCTTCTCAGTGAAGTGCACTGCCAATGTTAAATTCGAACTCAGCCCTCCACCTGTGGAGTCATCCCGTGGGGCCCTGGTACCCCTCAGTGGAAACTCAGTCATACTCATCAGCATGAGCCATGCCAGCCAATATGAAAAAGATGATAAGGTAATCTGGACAGCCATGAAAATACAGAAAGCCTTTAATCCAACACAAGTTTTTCATATTGATAGGGCTCATCAACACAACCTTGTCAAACATTCCTGCAGCTTTTGTTATTAAACTCCTTACATTTGTCTTCCATAAGTAAACATTTGTTTATTTATATAAAGCTCTCCGTCCGCTATTATCAAAGTGGAAGTACCAGGTCGGTTTTGGGGACAGCAGTTCTGCATCTTACTGCTATTGGTAAGTTTTATTTAACTGAATAACACACTTCTGTCATGATGCTGATGATGTGGAGCAATATGCAGAGTAAAGGAGGCAGCAAGTTTGATGCAAAATGAAGATTTAAGAAATGGAAGACT